AAGGAATTTCTGTCTTATTTAAAAGCTAGCTTGGTTTGCCTGACATAGACAATTACTAATTTTAGCTTATCACACATTCTGGGATTTTTTTAAATCCCAGAATTCATGTTACTTACAATGAAAGTTTTGGTGTGCTGGTTAGGTTTCTGTCAACTTGACACAAATTACAGTCATCTGGGAAGAGGGAACATCAACTGAGAAACCTTCTCTGTATGATTGGCCTGTGGGGGAACCTGTGGAGCATTTTTTATTAATGGTTGATGTGGAGAGGGCCCAGCCCATTGTAGATGGTGACACCCCTGGGCAGGCTGTCCTGGCTTGTCATAAAAAGCAGATTGAGCAGGTCATGATGAGTGAGCCAATAAACAGCACTGGCCCATGGCCTCTACTTCAGTTCCTGCCTCGAGTTCTACCCTGACCCCCCAATAATGAACTGTAAGCTGTAAGGTGAAATGAACCCCTAGCCCTGCCCAAGTTGCTTTTGATTTTGATGTTTACCATGGCCTAGAAACCTATCTGGAAGTCAGTGTAAAATTTCTTTGCAGGAGTTCCATAGAGACAGTATCTTCTCTTAGGCATCCAGGGATGTTAATTATAGTGATTTCTTTTATAATAATGTTATCTTTCATTCTTTTGCTTCTGTTTTTACTTTTCAGACTTCTTTAAATATGTGCCGAAACCTGGCTGTGTTTCAGAGGTAAAAGATACTAAACCATCAGTGTTAGTAATAGGGAGATAATTGCATTGCATACAAAATTCAAAAGGACAGACTTAACAGTCCAAAGGTGTCAAGTTCATATTAGAAATATCACTGTGACCTTGATCCTTCTCTTAGTAAAAGGAACTTCTTGTCTGTTTTACAACTATGCATCAAACTCATAAACATGTTCACACCAGAAAAATAGTACACCACTGAGCTAGAGCCCCAGACCCATAGCAACCGTTGAGACAGGATGTACATTGTGATAGACATAAGTAATCTGGGGAGGACTTGGTGTATACAAGAGGGTATGGATGGGTCTCATGCAAACATTATGCCACTTGAGATAAGGAACTTGAGCATCCACAGAGAGGCCTGAGAACTACACCCCCGCAGGCCCCAAAGGATGACTCTGAAATCAGTGTGAGTTCTGGCTGGAAAGTCCAAGCATCTCAGAAACCGACCCTCCCATGTCTCCTGGGAATAATGCTATTTATCACCTTTGTTGTAAGCCAGGCAGAAAGGTGTGGGTGCTTGGTTAGGAAGAAGGTGTCATATTAGAAGTTCAAACCCTATCTGGGTGGCGGCGGCGGCACGTGCCTTTAATCCCAGCACTTCAGAGGCAGAGAGGCAGAGTCTCTGAGTTGGAGGTCAGCCTGGTCTACAGAGCAAGTTCCAAGACAGACAGGGCTGTTACACACAGAAACCTTGTCTCAAAAACAAAACAACAACAAACAAATAGTTAACATCGCAAAAGAACATTCTTGCTGGTGTTGTTATTGGAAAATGTGTCTATAAACCATACTCAACATCAAAGATGTCCCTCTGTGCCATTTGGAGTTTGGGCTTACATGAACCTCAAGTGGCTGGGTGGTGGTGGCGCACAGCTTTAATCCCAACATGAGCTCCAGACAATAAGGGCTGTTAAACAGAGAAACCCCGTCTCGAGGAGCGGGGAGGGGGAAGTGAGCCTCGAGTCACTAGATTTCACATTCATGGACTTGATAGGGTTTTTCCTCCAGTCTGGGAAACAGTTTGCCTAGAGACAGTTGAATAACTTCAGGGCACCCCTCCAAATAAGGGGGAGAAAAGCTTGAAGACACAGCCTGGTCACAGCTGGGCAAAGGTCAACCCCACAGGATGAGTGCCGAGGGACTGCCACGGGTACAGACAGTGGAGTTCTGAAGGAGCAACAGCCCCAAATATACAGAGCCAGAAGGGGGGCGTGCCTGTGTGTGCATCCGTCTTAACGCCCATGCTTTCTGGTGTTACTCAGGGGTGACCGAGGACTTGTGTGAGGGGTTAGCTCCTATCAATGCTGGTGTTGTTTTCTGATCTTTTCCTGCCCCCCTCCCTTGCTTTCTCCGCTTAGGAGCATTTGCAGAAGCAACCAGCTCATGCAACATTTTCATTAGGTGTGCAAACCTTGAAGAATGGGTATGGTCCTCAGTTGTGGATTGGCTTCCACCCCGTTAGATTCCTGTGTTCCCAGCAGTCCTTCAGCACTTATCCTGGAAGAGGACTGGGCAGGAAAGGCCTGGATCTTGGTCTGGCAGGAGGACAAGCCACTGCGGACCTGCAGACTGTGAGAAACAAACTTTGGTCATTCGGAGCCGCCGAGATCCAAGGTGGATGAAACTGAAGAACTGTGGCCAAAGATGGGCATTGCTGGGATGCCTCCTGACCCAGAGGACAAGGCTAGAGGCTGGGACTGCCTCTCTCCCAGGAGACAGAGAGCTTGAGCCCAGAGATCAAAGCCCCCAGATCTCTGACAGAAGATCACAGCCCATTCCAGAACATTGCCATTCTGCTTCCTTCATCAATGTCTTTCACCCTTTCAGGGAAAAGCATATGCAAGCCAAGGCCCTCCTCTTTCTTACCCTCCCTGTAGCCACACTTTAAGTCACAGCCTTTCGTGGTTGGTTCCATGTAAATTGCATTTTTGTTAATTTATTGAACCCCCTTTCAAGTCCCTCCCCCTATACTTCTGCAGTCCTCATCTCTGGCTCCAATGTGACAGCCTAACTAAAGGTCTAAAAGGATTAGGAGGCTCTTGGTCAAGCAGTCACATCTGGAAATTTAACCTAAAGGGATACTCACCACACACACAAAAGTGGTTATGCAAAGAAATCCAGCAAACAACCTGAATGACTCAGAGAATTCACTAAATAACTCAGGCATATTGAGAAAATGAAATCCTCATCATGTGGCACTCAAAGGGGTATGGTAAAATATTTTTATTGGTGTGGAAAGGTGAACATTATCAAGCAGAATGTGGTATGAACTTCTTTTATTAAAAAAATATGGGCGTATCCAGACGTTATGGACAAGTTGCGTGCATGCATGCATGTGTGTTTAGGTTATAGATAAATATTTTATTTTGTTTATGTTTTCCTCCTTTTAAGTTATACTTACTAGTTGTACTGGCTGGTTTTGTGAGTCAACTTGACACAAGCTAGAGTCATCAGAGGAAGGAGCCTTGGTTGAGGGACTGCCTCAATGAGATCCAGCTGTAAGGCATTTTCTCAATTAGTGATCAATGGAGGAGAAACCAGCCCATGGTGAGTGGTGCCATCCCTAGGCTGATGGTCCTGGGTTCTATAAGAAGGTGGGGTGAGCAAGCCAGGGGAGGAAGCAAGCCAGTGAGCAGCTCCTCTCCGTGGCCTCTGCATCAGCTCCTGCCTCCTGGATCCTGCCCTGTTTGAGTTCCCCTGACTTCCTTCAGTGATGAAAAGCAATTCTGAAGTGCAAGCCAAATAAACCCGTCCCTCCCCAGCTTGCTTTTTGGTCATGGTGTTTAGTCCTAGCAATAAAAACCCTGACTAAGACACTAGTATACCATAAAGAGCACATTTAGCCTTCATAACAAAAATGAACCTGTGAAATATATATTATTTTGACCCTGAAAGGATTTTGAAGAAAAGGGAAGTCTATTATTATGAACCATGGTGTGAGCTGCCAATCTGTGTTTAGCAAGAAGGGGCTGCAACTCAGAAATGAACAGTAACAAGGAAAGAAGGTAAAGAAACAACGTGATAGGAGATTTAGTACAGGAAAGAGCTATAGCACTGTTAAATAGTTCCAAATAAAACAGACTACTGACAATGAAAAACAGTAAGTCTATGCTCGCTTCCTACAGGGCTGAGCAGGGCAGCTCGGATCTAGGCAGCTGTCTGACTGGGCCTTACAGAGCAAGAGTAACAGAGTCACATCTCCTGGACTTCGGATGAGTTGTCCTGGTAAGGCCACAGTAATTGAGAATACATTTCTTACACCTACCTACAGAACACAATAGCTTAGCATTGGTTTCCCTGTGACTGTACGGTTGACTGGGACTCACTGTTGCTACTTAGCATTCAGACCATTACGCATACACCTAATTACCCCTAGCCCAGGAAAAGATCAAAATTTGAAGTTTGGTTATTATTGAATAGTGGTGTTTTCACAACATTGTAAAGTAAATCAAGACAAAAATAAACAAACAAAAACTTGTAAGTCGACCCCTCTGGAATCTCTACGGTGTATAGGGTACAGGAGCTCTGCATTGGGTCACCCCAAGGGTGGTGGTTCAAAGTTAGGCATGGAAAGAGTTTAGTCCGTTGGCCTTTAGCATTCGTGGGGAACCGATTCCTGACCATGCACACACAAACACACACACACACACACAAACACACACACACACACACACACACACACACACACACACGCCACAAACACACAACTCTGTAGATGCCTCAGTCCCTTACATAAAATGGCATAGTGTTTACAAATAACTTACACATGCCTCCTGTCATACTTCTAGCCATCTCTAGAGCCCATGGCCTATGTAGTGTCGGGTTCTTGACGTCATTGATAGTGCCAAGACCCCTAGGGAAGAACCGACCACTATTACTCTGCTAGACAGACACAGTAATAGGAGGACCCTAGTGACCCATCCATCCGACCCAGACATTTTGCATCCTCACCAGAGAAGCTTCTTGCAGTAGGACGTAACTGACAAGAGACTCCCCCCTGGTCAGTGTACAGAGAGCAAGGGACTTTGGAATGCTCATCCCTAAATGGGATATCTATGTCATATCCCTGCCTCTAAGGCTCCAGGATCTATGTGGAAGAGGGAGACAGAAAGATTTTAAGAGCCACAGGTGGTGGATAAATTCAGAGATGCAGTGTTTTCTGGAAGCAACAAGGCAAATGCAGGTAGGAACTCACGGAGACTGTGTCAGCATGCATATAACCACACAAAATACCGGTATGGAGGAGGGAGGTAGGCATGAAGTCCCAGCCCTAGTCAAGGAATTATTGACAATTGGTAGCTGCTTTGAGAGGAGAGTCATACTGGAGTCACACCAGGTATATCAACCACATGCCAGGGCAGCTCCCATGCCCAGGAGTTATTGGCAAACACAAACTGGACTTCGTGTGTGTGTGTGTGTGTGTGTGTGTGTGTGTGTGTGTGTGTGTGTGTGTGTTGTTGTTGTTGTTTCTTGTTTGTCTGTTGTTTTGTTTTGCTTGTGTTGCATATGAGGCTGGATGGTTAGGGAGGTGGGGGAGGATCTGGGATGACTTGGGAAAGGGGATGAGTATGATCAATGTATATTATATGAAACATTCAAGGAATAAGTAAGAGATGAAAACAGATAATGACAATAAATATGTCTCTCTGTACACCTTGAGTAGTTTTTTTCAGATTTTTTTGATCTGTAACTGGTTAAATGTGGGGTAGTGAAATTCAAAGATACTAAGAACTGACTGTGTTTGTACTACAAAATTCAGTAAATGTTGTAAATCAAACTCTTTCCTTTAAAAAAATCAGTTATTAAATATGTACAAGCTCTAAGACAAACCATGTAATTATTCAAGGAAAAACCCAGGGACTATCAAGCAAGTCTGGCAGAAATTCAAATTTACAGAAACCCAGGCACTATCCACTTCCCTTCACTACCCAAGCCTAAGACAGCCCCAGGCCTCTGGGCCCCACCTCACCAAACACGGCCATGCTGAAGCAGGACTCACCACACACTCTGATGCAGGCCTGAGAAGGTTGTGGTACATTCACAGGATAGGACTCCTTCCATGAACAGTCCCCTCACCGCTCAGCACAAAGGGAAACCTGAGCTATTCCTTTAAACTTACAGTGAAAACAGGAAAGACAGTAGGATCAAACGTGCCCTCCGTGGCACTTGAACTTTCAGAGGAGCAGGTCTGGATTCCCTAATTCTTTTCCTCCAACATCTGCAGCTGCAGATGGTTTGTTGCTGCATTTTTAAATGTCTAGAGACACACTTTAGTTTTCAAAGTAGAGTGGTTAAAATAACTCCTGGTGGGGTATAAAATCTGTCACACTTTCTGGGACATCGGCTTTTCTGCATTGTCCTGAGTTCCATACGCTTACCTGACTCGCTCTCCCTTCTCGCAATAAAGCATGCAAACAGACGTGACTCCTCCTGATAGTGTTTTGGTAGGAGAATAATCATTACTAAAATAAAATAATGGTTGGCACCTTGTACTCCACTCCCCTTCGACGTCACTGTACTAGAAACAAGCTACCTGATAAGTAAGCTTAGTCTTTCCTCTATGGTTGAATAATAGTTCATTCTTTCTCCACGATCATTATGTAGGTGAATATGTCTTCAAGCAAGGACTGTTCTTTATTAATGTCTTTCTTAGCATAAAAAGTAATAGGTTTCTTTTTGACATTATTATACAGATGTGTCATACTTCGTTCCCAAAGACCTTTCCTTCTAGCAGGACATATTCCTAGAAAGGGGTTATGTAATGAAAGGATGCATTTTCCAAGCTTGCAATGTGTGCTGAAGGACTGTATCCTAATAGGCCTATGCAAGTGTTTACACTAACCTGCATTTTATGAGACTGTGTTTCATGACACAGTAATCAAAGGTAACCGTATCTGGTCTTAACCATATAATGCACTTACATATGTGCTATATATGTGTATTGCAAATTGCTGATTCCATACAGAAATGTGGTTCCTTCTAGTTGAATGTGCATTCTTCCCCTCCCGCAAGAACCCAGCTTTGGCCTTGGAGATGAGCAGGGCATCACTACTTCAAAAGGATGGCCACGATGGAAGTAGAGGCGGGTGGTAGTGACAGGGGCCCAGAAATGCTCATGTGACAGAACCAGAAGATCCAGGGAGCTGAACACCTGAGGACAGGCTGAGCCAGCGCCAGAGGGGGCCTCAGTCCTTCCAAGCCCAGAAAGGCTCAGTCTGTGATCCCGATCTCACAGCAACAGCCCCAGACAGCTGACTCCGCAGGATGCACTCTGTCCGTCTGCTAGCACAGTGTTTTCAGGTCCAGCATGCTGGCGAGGCCTGTGCCTCAGAGGACCTGAGCAATTTCCCCATTTCTCTATCGACTTCTCCCCTAATTCATGCCATCAGCTTGAAATTTCTCTTGAAAAAGAAGTTTGCCGTAACCCTCTACCCCAACCTGAATCACATATTCAACTCACAAGAAACAAGGACTCCAACTAGACACTGATCCTGCCAACCTGGGTAGTAGAGTTTGAACTCAACTCAGCTGGGACGGGAAGAGGACATCAGCAGGGCCAACTGAGCTCCAGAGCCAAGGGCAACACAGTCAGGGCTATCGATCAGGACCGGGGCGTTCATTAGCAAATTGGAGCAAAGGCTTCTCATGTGTTCTTCCTGGGAACACTTCATGAAGCCAAAGTTTGCAAGGCAGAGGATATGGAAATCTAACGCTCATATGCACCCAAGTGCACTTAGCTGCTACAGCCATCTGTGTCTAAACTTGAAGCGAGCAGTTGGTTGTAGACTGCAAAGGAAATCTACTTAGATGAGGCGTTTTTATTGGTTGCCAGCTTCTGCGGTTTTGGGGTCTGAGTTGTTTGCTAGCCAGAAATTGAGGACAAGAATAAAAGTTATAGTTTGTCTATAAGGTAGTAACCCCTGGCTCAGCATTGGCAAGTAAGCCAACCATTGTCTGCTTGTGTGTTGTCTGTGAGTGAAGAGGGGTTGTTAGATACTTAAAAGGTTGAAAGGAATCAGAAGAAAAAAGCAGTGTGAAATCCAACCTCTAATGCCTAGACAGCAGGCTCTACTGGAGAACAGGCAGAGC